GGCGTCATACAGTCTATGGTGGCGACGCGTCGACGCGGGAAATATGTCGTCGACGATATTTTGAAGTCGACGCGTCGCTACAGCAGTAATTTTCACAAATAGAATTAAGGTTTCACAAATCTGAAACTGTGTTATAAAGAATCTTTAGACCCTTGGGATAATCCAGTCCAGATTTGATGAGTGTAGGTCTAGTGGTTTTAGATCAGGACCTGGTCTAATGTGATCTACATGTAAAAAAAAAAGCACTGAAATCTCACTTTTTGTATTTTCACAAATAGAATAAAGATTTCACAAATCTGAAACTGTGTTATAAAGAATCTTTAGCCTCTCTGGGATAATCCAGTCCAGATTTGATGAGTCTAGGTCTAGCGGTTTTAGATCAGGACCTGGTCTAATGTGGTCTACATGTAAAAAAAAAAAAGCACTGAAATCTCACTTTTTGTATTTTCACAAATAGAATAAAGGTTTCACAAATCTGAAACTGTGTTATAAAGAATCTTTAGCCTCTCTGGGATAATCCAGTCCAGATTTGATGAGTGTAGGTCTAGTGGTTTCAGATCAGGACCTGGTCTAATGTAGTCTACATGTAAAAAAAGCACTGAAATCTCACTTTTTGTATTTTCACAAATAGAATAAAGGTTTCACAAATCTCAAACTGTGTTATAAAGAATGTTTAGACCCTCTGGGATAATCCAGTCCAGATTTGATGAGTGTAGGTCTAGTGGTTTTAGATCAGGACCTGGTCTAATGTAGTCTACATGTTAAAAAAAAAAGCACTGAAATCTCACTTTTTGTATTTTCACAAATAGAATTAAGGTTTCACAAATCTGAAACTGTGTTATAAAGAATCTTTAGCCTCTCTGGGATAATCCAGTCCAGATTTGATGAGTCTAGGTCTAGCGGTTTTAGATCAGGACCTGGTCTAATGTGGTCAGGATGCGGAAAAAAGCACTGAAATCTCCCTTGTTTGTATTTTCACAAATAGAATAAAGGTTTCACAAATCTCAAACTGTGTTATAAAGAATGTTTAGACCCTCTGGGATAATCCAGTCCAGATTTGATGAGTGTAGGTCTAGTGGTTTTAGATCAGGACCTGGTCTAATGTGGTCTACATGTAAAAAAAAAGCACTGAAATCTCACTTTTTGTATTTTCACAAATAGAATAAAGGTTTCACAAATCTGAAACTGTTTATAAATAGTCTTTAGACCCTCTGGGATAATCCAGTCAGGATTTTATGAGTGTAGGTCTAGTGGTTTTAGATCAGGACCTGGTCTAATGTGGTGAAGATGCGAAAAAAAAGCACTGAAATCTCCCTTTTTTAAATTTTCACAAATAGAATAAAGGTTTCACAAATCTCAAACTGGGTTATAAAGAATCTTTAGACTTTCTGGGATAATCCAGTCCAAATAAATCGGCTATGCAGCGATTTAAGAGGTTCAAACACGGAGGATTGTTCGCTCAGCGCTGTAAATTAAATGTCCCTTAACTTTCCCCTTAACTGCATAATCGGATGATCTGAATCGGAAGCCAACTTCAGCGTCGTAGTTTACCTCATAGCACGAATCCAGACTCTCCTTTGGCCGGGAAACGATAGAACGAGCACGTTTCATGCAAAGACCTGTGGCTGCAACCGGAGCAAAGCAGCGCTAGCTTTAGCTAACGTTAGCCAACGAAAAGAACTGCCGAGTAAGATTGGAAAACACTGGTAATTAATTGTTCTATAATTTGTAAAACTACGGTGTTACAAACGACAATTTCAAAAATACAGATTCTAATGGTCAGATATACAGTGTTCGAAATGGGGGGGAGCCAGGGGAGCTTGGCTCCCCCGAAGAGGGAGGAGCTCCCCCCGAAGGAGAATGAAGTACGCGCACTGGCAAAAGTACTGGGGGGAACTGGCCCGAGAGGCCATTGAGGAGTTTCGGGACTACAATTAGAGAATAAATCTCCAGGGAAAGCCCTGCAAAAACTGCAGACAGCGAGCAAGACCTTTTTGCCTACATCAGCTGAGTGTGAGGGGGTTTTCTGCCGTCAATTCGACCGACACCGACAAACGCAACAAGTTGCGGGAGAAGAGCCTCTTCTCACTTCTCTTCGTAGACATCAATGGCCCCCCCCTGGAGCAATTCGACCCTCAGCCATTTGTACGGTCTTGGATCAAAGCTGGCCACAAACCCTCCACATCCTGGGTTCCGGGACCGAAAGCGAAGAAGAAGCCGCCCAGGTCCCTGTGGTCGCTTTTACAGTAAGGTAAGAGAGTATATTTTACTGTTTGAGCTTTTTGTTTGTTTGGACTGGCCCCAGTCCTACTGTTGATATCATTTTTGGTTGTGGGATTTATTAGGTTTTATCAGACTGATTGACTTGCGATAGTATAATCAGCTATAGGCGTTGCTCTTTCAGCCAGCCACACACACACACACACACACACACACACACACACACACACACACACACCACACACACACACACACCCAACACACACACACACACACACACACACACACACACACACACACACACCACACAACACACACACACACACACACACACACCACACACACACACACACACACACACCACCCACACACACACACACACACACACACCCACACACACACACACCACACCACACACACACCACACACACACACACACACACACACAACACACACACACACACCACACCACACACACACACACACACACACCTTGCGTTTTGAAGACTGGTCAATCCGAAATGGATGAACAGCAGCCCAGTTTCCCAGCTTTGCAGTCTATTCAGGGTAGCCTCTTGTTTCCTCTGCCACATGTCCTCCGTCCATACCTCGGGAAAGGTGAGCTTGAGCTAGCCAGGGGAACGTTGCTAGCGCAGCTAACGTGCACGTTAGCTAGCATTATCCATGTCTTTAGGCGGCTCTTCTGATGATGTGTAGTACTAGTAGCAGCTTCACTTGTAGCTTCGATGCTGCTAGCTTCTTTCTTCTTGTGAATTATATTCTTTTTAGAAAAGTCAAGTAAAAAAACATGTACCTTCCATTATAGAGCTTTTTCGTTAGCGTTCTTGAGGGAAAGAGCTGCCGCAAAATCGGCGGGCGGTGAGCTGACACACCCCCAGCTCGCTGCGGGGTCACCAGCGTGATGACGAATCATCATTTTTGAAGGAAATCGTTTTTATTTTTTATTATAGGCCATTACTGTGAAATGTATTATGTTTTGTCATTATTACAACAAATACACACTTGCAACTGATAAGACTGGCAATTATTTTATATTCATTAGACTATTAAAAAAAAGATCATGCTCCAAATAAGTGGGGGTACGGCGTACCCCCGCGTCCAACGCCCACTACACCACTGGTAACAACCATCGTTTTTCAGACACGTAAACTCTTCAAAAATCACCAGTGGGGTCACTGCTGATGTATTTAATGTCGTAGAACAAAACGTGATTTATCTCTTAAATTTGTGTCAACCACAGACCTTATTTCGAGCTATTTTCCAAAACCCTATGGAGAAAATGCATTGTTTTTGACGAAGGAACCGGAAGTGCTAAAAATGCTAACTTACTTCCGGGTTTTAGGATGCGTCACTGCGGTTCTCTATTGATGCTCATTCTAATTGACCAGGCAGGTGGAGCATATGGAAACTCAGCATTACCTTGATTTCTTGTCAGTATTATCGTATTCTTCTCAGATGATTAAATATAATGTTTATTAGAGCTAAGAGCTGGGATGACTAGATTAATCAATTAACAAAAAGGTAATTGCTGTTGATAATTATGATTGTTATAATTCTGACCATTTTTATAATCATTTAAGTAATGTTTTATTGGAAAATGCCCCCAACATATTGAATGCTTATTCATGCTTTATATCATATTAAACTGAATATCTTTGGGTTATGAACGGAAAAAACATGAGAAATTGGAATGGAGATTTTTCACTAATTTCAGACAATTTATAGAATTGTTATAGAACAACGAATCCATTTATTTTGTGAGATAAAACTTTATTGTCAGCAAATGAAATGCAGCAGGCAAATACTCATGTACTACTATATAATTTCATCTAAATCTAAATGTATCTAGAAAATAATTGTCCCATTAATCCATAATTGAAAAAATAACATTAGTTTCAGTCCAGATTTACCACTTATTTGTTCTTTGGAAAAACAATGACTGACCTGGTTCTGGTTCTTTCAAAAAATGCATAATAAGATTATAAATTGGTTAAATGCAGCTTGATATCCTACCATCATATTTAACTCTACAGTGACATAGTTATGCGCTCTCACACATCTATAGTCTGGGCTCCAGAGAGCGGTCGGGCCGTGTTCTGTTCTCACTGAAGCACACTTTCACTGGGCACTTTGAGCTGCCTGTCACCTTTCTTAAAAGAAAATGTCTCTCTGTGCCTCTTTGTCTGTCACGCCTGCTTTTTTCTTTCATGTGTCTGATGCTTCTTCTCATCTCTTTCTTCTTCTTTGCTCATACTGTCCCAATCTTTTATTCTCCATCTTCATCAACTTCTCTCTTTAATTCTTCTTCCCTAGATCCTCCTCTCCTATCCTCCTCGAGCATTTGTCTTATTCTCACATGTCTGTCTGTGAGTAGCTCTGCCATCCCCTCTTACTTGAATGTCCTCTGTGTGCTGAATATTATCGTTCCTCCATTTCTATCCATCATTTTTTCTGCTCCTCTATCCACCCTGTCAGAGATGATGAGCGCTGACACTCCCCCCATGAGCTCCTGCCTTCCCTGTCGCATCATTTTCTTTCTTAATCTTATTTTTCCCCTGCCTTTTTTATGTTCTTTAACAATTGCCGTTGATGTGACACATCTTTGTTGTGTGTCCTTGTAAAAAATGTGTGAGGGCACAAACTGATAGATAATTAGTAAGTAAAGACACATTCTTTACTTTTTTGATTTTCTCTATAATTTACATCGGTAACTTTCACACTGTTGTTGACTCTCCTTTTTTTTAATCTCCTTGTCAGTCGGTGAGTTTTCCCGGAGATTTCAGTTGTGCAGTGGCAGGCCTGATCTTCCTGGAGTACACAGACAGCGCCCATTGGTCGGCCGAGCTGCTCGTTATCACGTACGGGGGCGGGCTCAAGAGTTACCTGCAGGTGAGAGACAAAACTGCTTCACTCATACACCTTAAAATAACAGAGTTCTCAAATCACCTTCTTCGTTACATTATCCTAACTAAAGAAAAATAAATGAATTTCACTTTTCCAGATTATTTTAGATTAAAACACCAAAAATACTTCTTTATTACCATCTAATTTCTGTAGATTCTTCTGTTACGCAGCTCAACACCCCCCCCCCCCTTCCTTCCCCCCCCTCCCCCTTCCTTCCCCCCTTTCCCCTTCCCCTTCCCCCTTCCTGTAACGCCTCGATTGGACTTCTTTGTTTACTTCATGGTGACATCGCTATGTATCACTTGGGCTTCTACTGGCTAGTGCTCCAATACATTGTACATGATAGGCTAAGGTGCAGGACATCCCTAAGCGGTTGACCAATCACAACAGAGCCGGCCAACTAACCAATCCGAGCAGACATGGCTCTGGTTTCAAACAAAGGGTGAAAAGAGGTGCTGCAGCTTGCGAAAAAAATAAAACGCTTTTTTAACATTAAAGCATGAAAACATGTGACAGTAGAAGCACAACATGCTAATATGACATCTGAAAATGAGCCCCTTTAAAAAAAATATATATATATTTTCTATTGTGGCCTCCTCATTTGGAGCCCACATCTATTACAACAGTGTTTCATCAAGAGTGTTGTTCATACATTTACGTTCAAGCATCTGCAGATATCCTTATAAATCCTTTGAATCAACACTCATCCCTTAAACCCGTTGCAGATGATGATAAATCTTAAAAATGCTCGTAAATATGTAGTATATTGATCGCCGTGCTACAACTTAGCGGGATTTTACTCCATTGCAGTTAACTTTTTACTGAAGCTTTATTTTTTCTATAAAAAAAGTTGCTTGTGCAATTAAAACTAACAGCAACACATAATGAAATATGTACTCTGAATATCAGTTTGTAACATCGGAAAAGGAAGAAGAAATACAAGGATCTTATGCAGACATTGCCCAGGCATAAGATGTTACATTATGGAATAGTGCCAATTGGCTTACTCAAGAATAAATGAGCCAATCACTTTAATGCAATACCTGCAGGAATCAACTATAGCCGTCTAAAATTCCCTTGGCCCTCCAATCCACGTAGCATTCAAAGTTTCGGGTTAATTACTCACACCCGCGACCTCACTGTTTTCACAGCGCTCTCCCGGTTTGCACTAACCAGATTTAGTTTGAGCGGTGAAGCTTGGTTTGGCAGCTTAATAGATTTTGGCAGCTACTGTCAAGTGTTTGCCAGCTGATAGATGAGATGAAACTTTAATGATCCCTGCGTAAAAACTGGGTCAGCAACAGAGAGAATAGATAGATAGAAGTAAGGGAAAGGCGAGATGAGAAGCTGAAAAATAATATGAAAAAATGATTTCAACAGCTGAATACTGAATAATAATAAATATATACCTTGTTAAGGCTCAAGCAGTAGCTATACAACAGTGACAGTTTTAAATTCCGTGATGCACAGATGGCATTATAAATACTCATAAATGTTTCCAGATGTGCATTTAAACACTGTGATCTTTTCCTTATCAGAGGTTATATACTCATGTGTCTGCAGATGTGCCAAGGGATGTGACAAGTGATCGAACATCTGTCTGAAGAAAACCTTAGTATTAGTATACTGTACATAAAAAGGCTTATATCATGGGCTACTATCTTTGGTGCTACTAGTGACGCAAGGAGCGGCACTAGTAGCACCAAAGTCCCAACTTGTAAGCTTTTTTTCGTCTGACCGTACTAGTGACACTAAAAGTGTACTAAATGTATTAATGTGATCTCTCTCTGGCCCAAGTCTGAGTGGGTAGAGAGGGATTGTGTGCACGCCCATTAGATATTAAGTGAGGTGGCTTAGACATAACTTATATTTGCACAATGTATTGCCGATGTATGTGTGTTCCTCTTTATCGCCTGGTCTGAGCCTGCAGAGCTGTCGCGTGTGCGTGCTTCACGTGTAAACAGGGTTAGCAGATTAATTTCACCCCACCTCCTCCTCCTTCTTCTTCTTTTATTTTCCTCTCTTCCTCTTTGGTCCCACCATCCTTCGGTCCTTCCCGCAGCCAGGATTTGACGAGAGTGGAAGACATCGCTGGAGAGAAGGAAGAAAATAAAAGGTACTTTGGCCTGAAGGGCTAAAGAAAGCCGACTTTGTTGCTGACACACTGTGGATACAATTGAATGATCTTTGACATGCACTATTCTCTGAATTATACAGTTATTTAGACACACATCCAAAGCCAGAAAGTATTTTCCTTCTTCAAAGTGTCCAAGCTTGTGAGTGTGTGTCTGTGCTTTGTACGCCTCTTTAGGCAGATTTACGGTCCCTTTTTTGACAGTTTTGGGCCAGTTGTAATGACAGCAGTGACAGCTTGTGTAAGCAATAATCTGTGCGAGTCTTCATCTCATGGATGACAAGTGATGAATATGCCCACATGTGTAAATATGTCTCAGCGAAGGAAGCCAATTCTAAAATGTTAATGTAGAACAAAATAGAATCTCAAAAGTGCACAAAACAATGTCAAATACAAGTTTGACCACATTTCCCTGGTGCACATTTGTAAAACTTATGTTTCCTGTCCTAGATAAGGAGCAGTACTACCCGCTGGAGGATGTGAGCTGGTGGAGCGACGTGGTGCTGATTCTGGCTCGCTGCTCCGGCTCAGTCACCGTGTCCTCAGTCAGGACGCTGCGCAACCTCCTGGGGAAATCCTCGAGTCACGGCGGCACACGAAGTGGGCTTCCTCAGCCTGGAGGTACGTGTTCAGAAAGCGGTTTGCATGTGTGGTTAAGTAAACATATAAGGGGGTTTGCATGTTAATAGAATGGCATGTGAGACTCATGTTAGCATCATACATCAATCAATCAATCAATGTTTATTTATATAGCCCAATATCACAAATGTTACATTTGTCTCAGTGGACTTCACAGTTTGTACAGAATATCAGTATGACAATACGACACCCTCTGTCCTTAGACCCTCACATCGTACAAGGAAAAACTTCAGAAGAAAACCCACAGTTTTAAAGGGAAAAATGGGAGAAACCTCAGGGAGAGCAACAGAGGAGGGATCCCTCTCATTTAATAATACATTTGCAACATAGGTAGTCCAAATGTTTGGAAATGCATGTGTGTATAATAGGAAGATGAATCCACGAGGATATAATAATAATAATAATGCATTACATTTTTTATTAGAGCGCTTTTACAGGTGCTCAAAGCGCTTTACAAGTACACATTACACATATTAGACATGTAAGAGTCATTACTGCGGACATTACCCACAGGAGCAAATCGGGTAAAGTGTCTTGCCCAAGGACACAATGGCCTGACGCAGTGGCGGCCGAGGCGGGATTCGAACTGGAGTTCACCAACGCCCCTTGATCTGATGACCAACGCTCTAACCACTGCGCCAAAACCAAATATCCATCCAGGACCTATGATCCAGGACCACAGCCACAATTCAAGATCCAGGGCTCGCGATGCAGGACACAGGACCGCAGGATCATCCATGACTCCGGATCCCGGCGTATATAGACACCAAAAAGAAAGACATTTGGGGAAGCTGGGTTAATCGGAACATGAGAGTACAGAGGTATAGACAGAGAGAGGAAGAGAAGTAAGATGTCCCCCGACAAACTAAGCCTATATCAGCAAACTAGGGGCTGAATCTAATCAGACCTAACTATAAGCTTTATCAAAAAGGAAGGTCTTAAGCGCACTTTTAAAAACGGATAGGGTGTCTGCCGCCCGAACACAAACTGGAAGCTGATTCCACAAATGTGGAGCTTGATAAGAAAAGGCTCTGGCTCCCATTGTACTTTTAGAGACTCTAGGAACAACCAACAACCCTGCATTCTTGGAACGCAATGCCCTAGTAGGACAGTAGGGTATAATGAGTTCTTTAAGGTAAGATGGCACCTGCCCATTAAGGGCTTTGTAGGCGAGAAGAAGAATTTTAAATTCTATCCTGTGTTCTATAGGGAGCCAGTGTAAGGCAGCCTGAACAGGAGTAATGTGGTCCCTTTTCCTAACTCTGGTTAGTACACGAGCTGCAGCATTTTGAATCAGCTGAAGCGACTTGACTGACTTCTTGGTACACCCTGATAATAAAGAGTTACAATAATCCAGCCTTGAAGTAACAAATGCATGGACTAGTTTCTCTGCATCGTTTTGAGGCAAGATATGCCTGATTTTTGCAATGTTACGTAGATGGAAGTAGGCGGTCCTTGAAATTGATTTTATGTGGGCGTTAAAGGATAAATCCTGATCAAATATAACACCAAGATTCCTTACAGTCTCACTGGAGGCCAAATTAATGCCATCCATAGTTAGTATATCCTTAGATAATTTGTTTCGTAGATTCTTCGGGCCAAGTACATCATAGACCTTGGCCTTCAGGGCTTTTAAAGAGGAGAGGATGAGCAGAAAAGAGGGAAGAGCAGAGATACCACCAGGGAGTAGTAGACAAGACAGACACTTTAGGGGTACAGAGGAGGTAAAAAATGACGGTGGTCTGAGAGGATAGCAGCATCTATCACTGTAGGCTCTCAGGTCCTAGATTTTGGTAAAAATAAGTGCTTTATTTTTTCTCACTTGATAATCTCTGTTCAACAGACATGTGTTTTTAACATGTCTGTCGATTGGCTTGCTGGAAAATCCCCACTAAATTAGGCTCCCATTAGGAATATAAATACTTATTGTAGGATTCATATAAATAGCTTTTATCAGGAATATACAGATTTGTATTGCATTTCTACTAATATAACATTAATATTTGTCTTATTAATAGGTCATATTTATCTCAGGAACATAGAATAGATAATAGAATAGAATCAGAGGGATGAAACCCTCTTTAATTGTCACACATGCAGAGCACACAGCGACATTTGTTCTCTGCTTTTAACCCATCCTACTACCAGGAGGAGTCTAGTACTGGGAGCAGTGAGAAGCTATTGTACAGTGCCCGGGGAGCAATGGGAGGGAAGGGGGATGTCCGGTGCCTTGCTCAAGGGCACCACGGCAGGGCAGGAGGTGAACTGGGACCTCTCCAAGTAGCAGACCACACTCCATTCAAGTCGGGGACTTGAACTGGCGACCCTACGGCTCACAGTCCAAGCCCCTACCGACTTAGCCACTGCCAGACATATAAATGGTATGTAATATTCATAAGAATACAAACATTGTTCTCAACAAGAATACAAATATTGTGTTTGTATTGGTGATATATGAA